TTGCTTCAGTCTTCAATTTGTTTTATACCTGTCTAGTCTATATTGTTTAATATTCTTTTAATTTCGCAATAGACGTAAATATTGAAACTACTTTTATTACCAAGTATTGATTTCCTTTGTTCTCCAATAATTGCATTATCATAAAAAAGACCGAAGAAACCTTCGATATTTCTGTGCGTCTATTCGTAGGGTTTAGGCGGACTTATATCAAATTTTGAGATTTTAACTGGTATTAAAAAAAACTTTCACATTTTGAGGTACACACGAGCAAATAAAACTTGTAATGTGAAAACGTATCAAGGAAACTTCAGTTGCTCGTGTGTAATAAGCTTTATTGAGAGAATATAAAGACTTTTAAAGAAAGGTAAATAAAAGAATCGTTGATTAGAAGAGAATCATAAAGGATAATTACATGTAATTGGCGGGATATCAAGTCGTGAGAACGACCCCCTTAAAGAGGGCTGAGGATATTTCCATTAAACCCATGTTAAGTGGCGGGAAAATGGCATTCATGTGTACCTCCGCCTTAAAAAGCGTCCTTGTTCAAATACCCGGGCGTGCTGCTGAGATGTTGAACAAGGAGACTTGTCAAGGAAAACTTGCCCTGCAACCTCGTTCCCAGGGTCTCTCTTCTTCCCGCCAAAGCGATTCAATCGCTTTTGGCGGGAAGAAGAGAGATCCTGGGAACGAGGTTTGCTTGCCCTGAAACAGCAAAACTTGCTCGTGTTCACCGCTCGAACGTTTGGGATATTCCGCTGTACAAATAGTATAGTGGCTTCAAAAAAAAAATGACAATGAAACTCGTTGACGAAAACTTGCTGTTAGTTCATACAATCAAATAAAAATTGTTAGCAATTAGTTTTTAAAATATTGACCAAGTGTACAAACCTTCCAGGTGGTCTGTTGATATTTCTTGGATACAAATTGTGAAGCCATGAAATGCAGCCGGCTCTCAATGCTATATATTGAAGCTAATTTATTTGATGACTTGTTTCAACAAGAACAGAGTTTCGGCAGCCATTTTTGACAAGTATGGCAAACACATCGAGCAAACAGTGTTTTGTTTCGTGAATCCCTAATCCCTGTGTCAAATGTTTTCAACCAGAATATTATTGCTACTGGCTTGGATTTAACGTTTGAATAATAAAAACCTCGTTCAAAAACTATACACTTGATTTCAACGTTTTAATTTGTTACATCTGCCTGCCGTATAGGAAACTCGAATCCAGACAATCCGTTTTGGTGCATCTTTAGTTTTCTCAGTTCAGGAGCTGGCGTAAAAACCACGTGACTATTGCCTACTTTTAGCGGCGCTCTTAATTTTTATAGATATTACTCTCCGGCTCCAAAACGGCTCAAGCAATCCAAAAACTCTCTGCTCATCCCATGAATCTATGTTATGGGGTGTTTTGTAAATTTTCGGGTGATTTTTGGGTATTTTGGGGAGGAAATAGTTTTTCTCAAAGGAGTTGTAAAATTTAGGGAAATAAGAAATATTGAAGATTTAATGTAGTTTTAAAATTAGAATTTGAAGTTAAAAATTAGTAGATTGACACCAACAGACAGTTGATAACCACGCAAGAGCACCCGCGTGGGGTAAACCGTGTTCCAAAAATCTTTTTGTTTTTCTATCCCTTCTTTAAACCTCTTAAAATTTCATTGAAATTCATGTGTACCCCCGCCTTAATATGTTAACATTTATTTATTTTATTTCATGTTAATTTTAATTTCATTTTGCTAAACAAACGTTTTCATGGTACTGTTGGTATCTTAGAAATACTCATAACTAATAAGTCTTTTTAATTACCATTAAGAGGTTTAAAGAAGGGATAGAAGAAAGAAAATGATTTTTGGAACACCAACAGACAGTTTGATACCCACGCGGGTGCTCTTGTGTGGTTATCAACTGTCTGTTGGTGTCAATCTACTAATTTTTAACTTCAAATTCTAATTTTAAAACTACATCAATATTTCTCATTTCCCTAAATTTTTCAACTCCTTTGAGAAAAACTATTTCCTCCCAAACATACCCAAAATCACCCAAACATTTACAAAACACCCCATAACATAGATTCATGGGATGAGCATAGAGTTTTTGGATTGCTTGAAACGTGAACGAGATATTTCCGAAAAATGGCATTCAGGTTAAGTCCCGCCTTAACAACTCGTCGGTGCTCTTGAAGAATGCTTTAATTACAAAATATGATGCCTTTATTGTCAGTAACTCTGTCAACTTATTATTTGGATTATATTACATTGATATCAAAGGTGTTTCGGACTAGGAGTGTGATATTGTCTGCGAAGGCAAGCGGATTTGGAGGTAGGTACTAAATCTTGATAAACACTACTTTCATTTTATCTTAAAGGACCTTAAAGCCGAATATTCTCAGATACTGGTCAACTCGATCTACTCGATCTATCTACCTTATTCTCACTTATTTTCGCGAGTATTAACTTTCGCGGTTTTCGCGATGTATAAAAATAGGTACGCACCGCGTACATGTGTGTACTGCAAGGTTTTCCCTAGGTTGATTTATCATTTGGAACGGTGGTAAAGTCTTTGTCACTAAATCTGATTTACTCAAAATACACTAGCCAGCTTGGAAAGGATGGTGGGGATAGAAGGGAAGAAATGGAAGGGTGTATAAAAATAAAATTCACATTCGCGATGTATAAAAATAACGCGAAAACATTTTAGGAACATTTTAAGTCCTTCAACCCTTATTTTCTCTGAAATCGCGAAAATAAAGCTCTAGCGAAATCGAAATACGGGGTCTGTAGTTACAAATAATTTTGATCAATCTGTGAAACTTGATATATTTTGCCAATCATAGTTTCGAAAATTTCTCTCCTAGCCTTGTGAGTTTAGAGAGATGATTTATGCCGAAACGAAACAGGGGCACCCAACGGATCGTTTCGGTGGAATATCTGTTCGGAAGGCCTATAATCGCCTCAGATATTCGGTTAGGGAACAGTCATCTCAAACTTTCTAAATGAGAAAATGAAATGCATGCCTTTTGTTTTCGCAGAGAGATAAAAATGTCGTTTTGGGTACAAAAACAGCTCAGCTAGGATTTTTGGAAAGGCAAAAGCATGCAGCTCATAAATTCGGGTAATAAGATTTCAATCCCTAAAATTTTCTGAAGTTTGAAAGTTCAGCTACGTATCCGAACAGATACATTTTTCTTAGCGCGTTTAAAAATCTGACGAAACTGTACGGCCTTTCTCTTAATCTTATAAGTTTTGGTCAGGAACCATCACCTATTATGGATCCTAGTTTTTGTCCCAATTCAAAGTGAGCCAGAAAACCGATTAAAACGTTCATGTCTTTATTTTTCGCCCGGCACGAATATACTACGCAGTGTCCAACCCCGCGAAGATCATCATGTGGGGGTCAACGCAAAGCTACTAAGCCGAACATTTTTCATCTAAATGATCAAACACACCAACAGTTCTAAATAAAAAAGAAGATTTTCAAGCAAATTGGGTGAGTTCATTCGAAGCATCGTGTCCCTGAAAAATAAGAGACCCTGAAGCCACTTCTCGCGATAATACTCAAACGGTCACTTTACTGTTCAGATCATTATTTTAATTTTGGTAAAATTGACACAGGAGAAATGGCCATTGTGTAGCCAGCGAATAAGCCACTCAAAAATCGCGCGTGGCTACTGCGAGCTTCTCACGAAGGAGACGTGGAGCGTGGGCCGCTCGCGGGAGTGGTACGTGGCACACGATACAAGGAAATTTAATTCCTCGACCACTAAACCGATTATTAATCGAGCAAGGAATTTTGCTGTAAAATATTCGATAACAAGGGAAATTTTCAGCCAGGGTGAATCTATAGGCTCTCTTTCCTCGAGAAAAAAAAACAGCATTTCAGCTAAGTCAATTGTTGGTGATACTATTAAATCTTTACAGAGGTCTATACCTCTGATCTTTACTATCCCTTCCTTTTCTTCGGTTCTAAAATGTATTGCTAATGTTTAAAGATTTCAGATTGAAAAAAGCATGCGATTCCTTGTCACCGTCCCGTTCCTGTTGCTATTCTGGTCCAATCCTGCCAGAAGTCAGCAATGTACTGAACTAGACTGGACCAGTACGTTTGCAATAGCGGGCGATTCCATGTCCCAGTGTGAAAATAACGTGTCCTATGTGAATGGACTGAGGAGTGCAGGGTATGGAGCTCTGGTGGAAACTGGACCAGGCGTTATAAAGGCCGCTAGATGCTGCGCTGTTAAGCTGCCATATTCTCAGGAAGGAAATGACTGTTACTGGGATGAATGGTGGACTGCTTTGTCAAGGTCAGATTTTAGAGCCAACTCATTTAATTATTTTGATATTTTGAATGGAAATATTTTGATTTGTGGTGCGGGGTGTGCAGCCCGAACGGCTCAAAAACCATACCCTTTGGCATATAGGCACCTACCTATAAAGCTTATATAGGGAGAACCCCTCCCCCCCCCCCCCCCCCCCACCAACCTCCACCGGGATGGAAGTTTCACTACTACTTACCACTACTGTTTGTATGTAAGTGGACGCTAACGGGAATTCGATTGATGTATAATTTTTATATAGGATTTGATTTAATTTTCTCTAATTAGACAAGACTCGTGGGCCACATGTCAGCGCAAGGGCTATCTCTTCCACGGATTTTTCACCGTTGGGCGAAATTTCTTAGCTGATATCGGCATGGGTCAATGCTGTAAACCATCAAGTCATCCAGATGAAGACGGGTCCTGCTCGGAGGTTAATGTGGATTTTACAGCAGATGGAACAAAGCAGTGTCCAGATGACACGTTCATGAAGGGAATTTATAAAACAAAATGTTCCACAATTGACTGTCTAACTCGGATCAGATGCTGCACAATGGTTCCAGTCAGTTACTTGTGTTATCTTATGACTGTGTCCTAAACCCAAACGCAAAGTACGGGCGAATTACATATGAGAAAGATATGATTCAGTCAGTGACATAAGCTACTCGGAAACTGAGAATTTCCGAGTTCTCCTAACAGCGGTCAAACCTATGACCTTCCGCACACCGGTCGGACGCTCTACCAATGAGCTACAGGAGACTCGTGGGAGCTTATGGTCATCGATATACATTTGGCCAATGACAACAAACGCAATGATCCAATCAGAACTCGAAGCGAGAACATAAAACCCATGTCAACCAAGCGCGTGAAACGCGCGTAAGTCAATTTAGAGTAGTTTTCAATTGACTGTCGAAAGTAATCGCTGAATTGCTTTGGTTTTGCTTTACTACGCTCTCTGATTGGTTTAACTATTCAACCAATCAGATCCAAAACTATAACCAATCACGACTTGGTCGCACGCGTTTTCCCGCGCTTGGCGCCAGTTACGTGTAAATGCTTCGAGTTCTGATTGGCTCATTGTTTTGTTTACGTTTGTTGTGATTGGCCATTGTAATTGCTGTGGTTTTAGTTTTACGACACTTAATTGAAAGCCGCTCTATGACTAAGGTTGGTGTTGCTCGGTCCTGACTGGTTGAAACACAGCATGTTTGCTCTGATTGGTTAGAATGTGTAACACGTGATTCGTTAGTGGTTTTGTGTTTGCTAACTTTGAATTAATTTTCAACGGTCAATTGAGGGCTGCTCTAACAGTACCTATTTAATCTAAATTCCCCCCCGCCCCCCGTCCTAGAGTCTGTTCCAATTTCTTGATGTTCTCTCTCGCATACAGGAAAAGTGGATGGCGGCTGGGCAGAATGGGGAGACTGGACCGACTGTCCTGTAAGTTGTGGAGGTGGCATACAAAATCGAATCCGTACATGTACAAATCCACCACCATCGGCACAAGGAAACGACTGTGTAGGTCTGCCTTTTCAGACGCAGCCATGCAATCAGAACGCATGCCCTGGTAAGTTTATTTTTCTAATCTGAGTACATTTTAAACTAATTCTCTTGTAGTGCATTGCGCATCCTTACTGCGCATAATTTTGCGCGTAATTAGCGAGCGATTCTTGTAAAGGAGCATGGTGACCTATCGTTTTCCGCATTTAATGCTATCGTCCCCTTTGTATTGACGGTGAAAATAGCAGGTAACTAAAGCGTGACACTAATAAGCCCCTAGAGGAAATACGTGCGGTATATTTTAAGGTTTCAAGGTCGATTAGCCACTTACTAATTTCATTTGGTAACCATGGTAACGCAGTTGATGGCGGTTGGTCTGACTGGTCACAGTGGGAAGCCTGCACTGTCACATGTAGCGGTGGAACCCAACAGCGCCGTCGCACTTGCACCAAGCCTCCTCCGTCTAATGGTGGAGCACAATGCAGTGGGGACCAGATCGAGTCTCAAGAATGCAATAAAAACCCTTGTGCACGTAAGTAATAAAGAAATCAATGTTCCAATTTCTGGTCATCTATGCGGACTTAGATCGCGAATTACGTACGTGCAAAATAGGCTTCGATTGTTGAGCTTCGGCTGAGATAGCTCCCGTCCAGGATGGGAGAGAGAGGATAGGCAGTGAACGTCCTAACTACATGGACAGTCTCTTTATAATGATCAAAACGCCTTCCATCATTTTCCTTTGTTGCTATCGCTTCGATGATTCCAGAAGAGAGCTTGTAGCGGCCATAATGCACAACCACATATGAGAAAGATCACAGTGAGTTACAAGCGTGTCTTTGTAAGTTGTAGCTCTATACTGTTTTTCGAATTTTTTATTGACTATGAGTCAGACATTTTTACTTTTTTATTTTTATTTTTGGTATCTACAGGGCATAAGAAACCAATTGGCCTGTTTGGTTGTATATTTTTTTGTCCTCTTTCTCAGAATTTTAACCACAAATATGTATCACTAACCCCTCTGCACTGAAAAACCCTTTGCACACAATACGTACCTATGTTTGTGGGTTTTTTCCAGCTGTGAATGGTGGTTGGAGCCAGTGGTCAGATTGGTCAGATTGCACTGTTAACTGTGGTGGAGGCACACAAAAGAAAACTCGCACTTGTACCGACCCTACCCCTGCAAATGGCGGAAAAGACTGCCGTGGAAAATCGGAGACGTCACAAAATTGCAATGAGAAGAAATGTGGTAAGTCCATTTCTTTGATAGACTGCGAGCAGTCGCTCTTTTCTCCTCTCTGCAGATCTTTGGCTCGATCGCGCGCGTGCCCTAAAAACATTAGGAAAAGAAAGAGACTGCTCGCAGTCCATTTCTTTGACTGATAGCTGCTAAGTAACCACTGCAAAGTGGACATCGCGAACCAATCAGAACCAGTGGCGGATTTAAGAGAGGGGCCCTGTTATGTTGAAATTACACCCAACTGTTGCTTCAACCGAGCTCAAAATGGCTGAATTCTCTTATAATATTGGGCATGAAAAATCCAAAATTGATCTAATTGGACTCATGCAGAATTGGCCAGAAACCCATTCATTGTGTGTACATGTAGCATACAAGGGCACAATGTTGTATCTTTTAAGTGTCGGAATAACTGTGCGAATTAAAAAAGCGTGAACACTTTTTAACTTTGACAATGATCAAACCGAAAAGCTTTGCGAAAATTTCTATAAAATAAATACAGGAAAAAAATTGACCAATTTTTTGCAAAGGAAAATCCAAGCATTAAATCAAAGTGTTCACGCTTTTCTGATTCGCACAGTAAGGGGAAATCCGGAACATCAATTTTCCAGGCATGGTTATGAGCATAATACCTTCAGTAATTCGAACATGGTAAAACCGCTGATAATTTAGCTAACCCTAGTACGTTACACGTTACTGTAAGCTGATGTTTTTCTTTTTTTCTCAGCGTTCACCAAATGGTCGAAATGGGGACTATGTGACAAAACGTGTGGTGGAGGGACAAAGATACGAACAAGGACGTGCAAGGAGACTCCACCTTGCGAAGGAAGCACTGAAAGGGAGAAGAAATGCGGCAAAAAGGCCTGCCGTGAGTATTTGTACTTAACCAAACTGATTGCAAGTCTGGCATTTCGGCAAAAGGGCAGGTTTTACTTTATTGGCCTATATTTCAACTAGCAGTACAATCTCGTTCCCAGAGTCCTCGTTACCCTTGTCCAGTGGTGGAGCGGCCAACAAGGACCTCTGGGATAAAGCGATCCGCCATGACCGGATTCTAGGACTTCCGGCTCTACTGCGCATGTGTTCGATCCCATGTTTCAACTAACGGACGCCAAGATTCTTGGACTTCCGGTCTTACTGCGCAAGTCAGGCGGATCACTCTATTCCAGAGGTCCTTGTTGGCCGCTCCACCTGCTGGACAAGGGTAACGAGGACTCTGGGAACGAGATTGCTAGCAGTACTAGTCTTCTTCAATAGTTTCGTCTCGCTCTCTCGCGCCCTCGCGCGCTCGCCGAAAAACAACCCCAAACCGCCTGTTCTGCAGGCTATCTTCAAGGCCTGGGCGGCTATCTTCAAGGCCTGGGCTATGCCCTAAAGAAGAAACCTGTCCGTTTTGCTGTAGTGCCAGCCGTACAATCGGTTTGGTTTAGTTACACTTCAAGTGACGTCTGGCACGTACATTTCTAGTATGAGAGAGATCCGGGAACAAACAGTAGCCAAGCGATTGATTTCTACGTTTGCATTCAAACGTGTTTCTTTTATCAGTTTCAGTTACCTATATATTAGACCTGGGAGGGGGGGGGGGGGGGGGGGTACTCCCTTATATAAGCTATATAAGAGGGTTAAATACAATTACTGAAGTACGACTGGGTGTCCATTTTAGAGAGGTGTCTGTCTTTCTGAAATAGGGTATGTTTTGTTCACTCTGGCCTGGAATTTTTGGGGTCAGGTCTGAAATAGGGTATCAAAAATCACATATTTGGGTCTGAAATAGGTAAGGGTTTCAAGAAGCGGGCCGCTCACCAAACATTTTGGGGAGTACCCCCTCGGGATATTAAAGCCGTTTTCAATAAAATAGCTGGTTGATCTATCCTTTAATTAAGTCGATTTCCTATCACATGATGATGATCAGCGATTCGTTTTAATTTTGTCTCTACAGCATGAAGCAAAAGCCGCCTGGTGGGAGGAACACAGAAAGCTGTGCTGATGGCATAAGGGATAGATGTGGAATGATGTAGAAAATTGTTATCGGGATATAACATTAAACTTTGATGTTTTTAAAGGAAATAAAATTGTGGGTTCAGTCATTTGAGAGTGATCGTCCTCATTTACGGTATTCTCCAATGGTTACCAACTTCGCTCCTCCGCTTATCAGCCTGCTCCCCACCCCACCCCCCACCACAATCCCCTCAGCCCTCGATCGGGTGTCAACTAGTGGGACCACAAAATCAATGTTCAGCTTTTGCAATACTGTAAACGATTTATGGTCATGCAAATAAAGCTTATTGTTGTTGTTGTGTTGTTGTTGGCCATTATCATACCTTTTAAAACACCTCACAATTGAAAACAAAGAGATAGCCAAGTTTAATATTTAAAATATCTCTTTTAAACATTCTATATACAGCCACAGTCTGAGTTGTGGAAAAAAAAACTCAGAATTTTTAACTGACTGATCTCTTTTTGGCGTTTTCGCTCTTTTTATGCTTACAGCTGTAAATAAAATATTTCATGTTTTGGACATGGATAAAAATTTGAATATGAAAAAGCCTAAAATTTGCGTTACAGGATACTGAAAACTAAAATTACATTCTTCGAAAATAAATTGTAACTCATTTAGCTTGAGACCAAAAAATATATCGATTAACAGTAAGCTCTTGTTTTAGTGTTCTCTTCAAAGTTCCGCGTGTATATCCAGTTCAGTGTGAACATTTCCCTGCCATTGTTCAGCGTCTTGCTCCATTGTCTTGTCATTTTCTGTCATTACTAAATCTGTCAAATCATTCACAAGCACGCGGATTTGTTCCCAGTCCTACACGAAAACAAAAAAGCAACGTTAGAAAGGACGTTTTTGAGAAGTTCCAAAACAAACAGAGAATAAAAGACGCGACAATAAGTATAGGAAATCGTATGAACGCGAGTGCAATTCGTGATTTATGGGCACTCGTGATGTTTTGAAAGTTCTCAAAATTGCACGAGCCTTTTAGGCGAGTGCAATTTGAGAACTTTCAAACATCACGAGTGACCA